AAAGGAGTTCTTGGAATAATACTTGAATTTATAGTTGGCTATTTCCAATGAAAAGAAGCTTTTTGTTCGTATATCTTCGGTTCAGAGAGCTACAAATGCTCTCTTTGCATATTCCATCTAACAATTTAATTTTCGAAGAGTGGCTCGAAGTCAAACTAACCTCAAAAGAGGAATAAAATTGCATACTTTTTGCCCATTTTAAGTGATCCATCGTTAGAGCATTAAAATCTTACCACACCTGGTTTCACAATATCGGCAATATCCTTTTGTGCGATTACAGACATGTAGCCAAGAATTGAAAACACCACAAAACCAGCAAGTATCGAGGTAGATCCATTTATGACACACATTACAAAAGCATCTCTTAAATGTAATTACATGATTTGGTATTTTCTTGAGTTCTCCTACCTGAAACAGTTGTGGTTGAACTTATTATGAGATCCAAGAGCTATGAGCGCTCCAAAGCCGACACCATACGAGTAGAACACCTGCAGAGATTTATATAATGGTTATTTACATTCTGATATAAAAATTCAAAAATTATTTGTCTTCGCACCTGGGTTCCAGCGTCCTTCCATACTGTAGTGTCAGCAAGACGAGTAAGGTTAGGTTTAAGGTAGTAGTAAATGCCTGGAAGACCTCTGTACATTACAGACTTCGTCAAAATGCCAGATTATGGTTTATCGAAGTCTATGACATGCTTGACACACCGGAGACCTTGCATTTTTTCTGAGAACTTCTACTAATTAACGATTTGAGCCCAAGTCAATGCACTATTAGTTTCATTGTGACTGTACTGATCATATGAGTATAATTGGAAAAATTATTACCTTTTCCAGCGCCCTCAAGTGTTAATCCCCGACAAAGTAGCACGAATAATAAGAAGTACGGGAAAAGAGCACAGAAGTAGACAAACTGAAAATACGTATAACCCTTGTTGAAGAATACTAAGGGGCTTTGCATTTAAACCGAAATACACATTTCGAAATACGGATCCCTCAAGAATTTCTTAAAAGAAAGTTCCAAATGTTTTTTATAGGGGAAAATTAATTACGAAAACTGCCACTTATAACTGTGTTTTTTAGTTCAATTAACGCAACAATGCAAATGTTATTCTTCGATTAGGGGGGCCAAGCATAGGTCTTGCATTGTTGATTAAGTTGCTTGAGCTCCTGAGCGAAAGTCGATGCGCTAAATACTTCCCGCTGAGGAAGAATCACAACCGAGGCATCGCGATATGCAGATATGGAGTTAGCGTTTAAGACCATTTTTTGTTGCACTACGATTATGTTAAGAAATTTTCGGAGATTTTTAAGAGTCACCTTTAAATACCCACAACAAAATAGAATTCTAAATTGCAAAGATAAGATTTGATAGATATAAACTCGTAATCTTCGCGTTTAAGTGTTTATTATAATCTTTATTATCGATAGCTCATACAAAACATTACTGTAATATCCAGAAATTAAGCATAAGTTGTGGAAGAGGTTCTCTATCCTCTTTTGAATTTTACTATTAGTAGTTAGGAGGCAAGCATTGCTCACCCCATTGACGTCCGTCACTGACAATAATACTTTTTATCCTGTTCGTCACCCTTGATGATCAACGCCATCGTGGCGCGGGGGTGACTCTGGGTGTCGAACTGCGAAGTACAGCGGAGGTTTATCCTCCAGCAGGG